TTGTATTCAAATAGCATTACATGCCGAATGTGTGTCTGGTCGTGTGCCATCACTATAAGGGATTAGAGTATACTAAACTTTAGACATTATGTAGGCTACACTAATGTGAGGTTTGGGCGGTTCGTTTAACTATTATACGTGATGTACGTTTTTTGGGGGTGGTTAGTGAAAGTGTTCCAAACCGCGACATTAGTTTTTTGACGACCTAATATTATCATTAAAGACAGTCTTGTTGGTGTATGTTCAGATATAAGTTACTTCAGTATCTCTCCAATATCAGATATTGAGACCAAATATTTACCTTCCATGATATCTGCAGAGAATGTGCACCTTTGGGTAACACGTGCACGTCACGAGGTGGTCCCTGGGGAGCTGAAAAATAAAAATGGCCGCCAAATAAGTAAAGTACATAAATGTACAATACCTTGAAAAATTAAATAATTTCAACTTAGAAAACTTTTCTGTGGATAAATTGTAGGTTTCTCTAAATTTCTATTCCACAATTACAATTCGTTTAATTAATCTGTTTCACACCATACCAGTTGTTCACAAAATTCATAATATAAATAGCACCTAGAACCACAACTACGCCTTGTCCCAGCCGACCTGAGGAGCCATGGTATTGGACTAAAGGCCTCGTCAACACTGGATATGGTAGATATAGCGCAGTTCACATATTATTGCATATTATCATTTGCTTTCACTCATAAGTCCATAGAATTTACAGTCACAAGGAACCACGAATTCAATTAACTGTCAATCATAACCAATAATTTCAGTCAGTTTCTGTCACATCATTGAAATCTTTTTTACGACTACAGTTCCAATAAGAGTCATTCGTTTGATATTTCCTTTTACAAAATCGCCAGAAATATTTACCACTGCATCCAGTTCGTTTTTTGTTGCTAAGAGAAAAAAACAAACAAACATAAAATCTCAGAACTTGAACGTGAAGATTATATGACGAAGTAAAAGACAAAACTTATTTTTAAAAAAACAGATTTGTTTCCTAAGTTAAATTTTACCTTCACCGTCGGTAACGAAGTCCAACACGTCACTCGGACGGCTCTGTCCAATCTCGTTCTCAGCCGTTACCTGGATCTTGTAAGCTGCGCGTGGCTTAAGATGCTCGATTCTGATTTTTTTGTTGTCTCGTGTTACAGTTTTCATCTGTGTTTGTTTCTCTTGTTTCCCTGTATCGTTTATTAAATCTCGTTAATATTTTACAGTTCACCCTCATCATAACTTATCATGAGCAATTAATTTTTGGATTACCCACTCCCGGGACGTTGGATTACCCACCCCCGGGACATTGGATTACCCATCCCTGGGACCTTGGATTATCTACCCCTGGGACCTTGGATTACCCACCCCTGGGTCCTTGGGTTACCCACCCCTGGGACCTTGGATTACCCACCCCTGGGACCTTGGGTTACCCACTCCTGGGACCTTGGATTACCCACCCCTGGGACCTTGGGTTACCCACTTCTGGGTCCTTGGAGTACCCACCCCTGGGACCTTGGATTATCTACCCCTGGGACCTTGGATTACCCACCCCTGGGACCTTGAGTTACTCACTCCTGGGACCTTGAATTACCCACCCCTGGGACCTTGGGTTACCCACCCCTGGGACCTTGGATTACCCACCCCTGAGACCTTGGGTTACCCACTCCAAATGGACCAAATGGTTGTTAGTTAATCCAGTTAATGTTTTACTCAATCAACCATAAAAGCTACATTTACCAGACCCAGTAAATGTTGTGTTGTTTGTTAACTCACTCACCTCTAGATTTTTTATTTTTTTATTTATTAATTCTGGTTTATGAGGTACTCACTTATCCCTAGAACAGTTTGGTAGTTATGTTGAATTTCGCACCGAGCTGCTCAAGGGCTATCTGCACTAGCCGTTCCTAATTTAGAAGTGACATACTGAAGAAAGGAATGTAGTCAACACCATCCACCGCCAACTCTTGGGCTACTTATTACCAACATAAGCGGAATTGACCATCACATTATAACGTCCCCTCGGTTGAAATATCGATAATGTTTGGTGACGGGATTCCAACCTGCGACCCGCAGATTGCGAATCGAGTGCCCTAACCACCAGGCCATGCCAGGCCCAGAGATTCGGAACCCCTGCCCTAAAAGTACATGATTAGTATTAATTTTCCTCGGACTAAGCCAAATTACGTCCTTCTGCTGTCTTTCAGTGAAAACAAAATATATTCAATGTTTCCTGTTTTCAACATTATCTGCTTAACTTTTATAATTCAGTTCCTTTAGACAAAGTTTCACGTTTATTAGTCGACATTCAATGTTGAAGCCACATAAATCTAACTTAATAAAAATAAAAAGGTGGAGTAACTTGTAAAACGTCTCTTCCATTAACAATTTTATTATAATCTCATCCACAAAAGACTGGTGAAGTTACATTCCAAACGAACCAATCACAGTTAAATGTGCCAGCCCCCAGTGTCTCAGCGGCAAGTCTGAAGGCATATTACTCTAAAGAAACGGGTTTCAATGCTAGTAGAGGACAAAGCATTCCAAACGAACCAATCACAGTTAAATCTGCCAGCCCCCAGTGTCTCAGCGGCAAGTCTGAAGGCTTATTACGCTAAAGAAACGGGTTTCAATGCTAGTGGAGGACAAAGTACAGATAGCCCATGGTGTAGCTGTGTGTTTATTTAAAAAAAAAACACCAATAAATTCACGAAAACCAAATGTAACCCTAAAAATAAAAACAGAAATACGTTTAATGGAAGCACAAACACTCTGATAAATGTTATTGATATTAAATCTTTATCATCCCTATTTAGAATGACAAAACATACGTTCAGATGTAATATATCGTATTGTGATATATCGAGGGGGGGGAGGCGATAAAGGGACGTGAACCACGCTCAGCCCGTTGATAAACAGATCAATTACTATATGTAACACCCAGTGTAAAGAACTTACCAAGACTTAAGTAAATGTTATATAAAATAAGTGTTTAATCTCAATGGTAAATCTAGGGTTAAGTAACACTCTCACCGTTCACTTTGTATATCTGTATAACATAGTTAGTGATCGGACTGTTGCCTTCGTATGGAGATGACCACGACACAACAACACTCCTGCTTAGAACTTTGATCAACTGGACATTTGGAGGATCTGGAGGTTCTGGACATTAAAACAAAGCAAACAAATTAGCATAATAATGACAGAAATTAAAATATAAACTAATAATGACAGAATTAGCATAAGAATACATAGTAATGGCAGAAATTAAAATATAAACTAATGATGACAGCATTAGCATAAGAATACATAATAATGACAGAAATTAACATAAAAATACATAATAATGACAGAAATTAACATAAAAATACATAATAATGACAGAAATTAAAATAAAAACTAATAATGACAGAATTAGTATAAAATACATAATAATGACAGAAATTAACATAAAAATACATAATAATGACAGAAATTAACATAAAAATACATAATAATGACAGAAATTAACATAAAAATACATAATAATGACAGAATTAGTATAAACTAATAATGAGATGATGTTGTCAAAATTGTTCCTAACTTTAAATGTTGTGTATTTTGGTTACAAGTACATTAATACATATATTATATTCCTTAAAGCATGTTCCATTTAAATAAAATTAATCATCCACTTAAAACAATAATGATAAAAGATTAACCTCCTGTGTATAGATCTTCAATATGAAATAACAAAAACTGTCTTGTGTACAGATCTTCAATATGAAATAGCAACAAAAACTGTTCTGTGTATGGATCTTCAATATGAAATAACAACAAAAACTGTCCCGTGTATAGATCTTCAATATCAAATAACAACAAAAACTGTCCTGTATATAGATCTTACAAAAACTGTCCTGTGTATAGATCTTCAATATGAAATAACAAAAACTGTCCTGTGTATAGATCTTCAATATGAAATAACAACAAAAACTGTCCTGTATATAGATCTTACAAAAACTGTCCTGTGTATAGATCTTCAATACGAAATAACAACAAAAACTGCCCTGTGTACAGATCTTCAATATGAAATAACAACAAAAACTGTCCTGTATATAGATCTTCAATATGAAATAACAAAAACTGTCCTGTGTATAGATCTTCAATATGAAATAACAACAAAAACTGTCCTGTATATAGATCTTCAATATGAAATAACAAAAACTGTCCTGTGTATAGATCTTCAATATGAAATAACAACAAAAACTGTCCTGTATATAGATCTTCAATATGAAATAACAACAAAAACTGTCCTGTGTATGGATCTTCAATATGAAATAACAACTTTGTTGTTATTTCATATTGAAGATCTATACACAGGACAGTTTTTTCTCGAATATTTTTCTCAATATATAAAATAAAACCTAGTTCTGATCTGCGCATGAGCAGCCGATAATTAATGAATACCTTTCACGATGAGCTCGATTTTCAACTCGGCCCGACCGTATCGGTTTGAAGCAATGCATTTAAAAAGTCCAGAATCCTCTCTTCTTGCATCGCGAATCGTCAACTCGGACATGACTCCATCCCCTCTCCCCTGGTGGTTAACAATGTACCTGTGCTTCAAAGAGAAATAAAATGAAACATTAGATCAGAACGAAGTATAGTCTGATAAATGTAGTAAATCTTTACGCACATATTGTTCGTTTCGCTTGTTTTTATCAAATATTTTGTAATAAAAGTACACTACTATATATGTATGTATATATTTCTAAATGAGTTATTGACCACTTGTAATGTATCTAATATATAATAATCAGGTAAAAGGAAAATATAATTGTTAAATTCAAATTTAATTTAATATATAAATAATTATGCAAGTACAAAATTAAAAACTTTCATTTTTAACATATATATTTATTGTCCACCGATGGGATAGCGGTAAGTATAAGGACTTATAACTCCAAAATCCGGGGTTCGAGTCCCAGCGATAGACACAGCAGATAGGTCAATTTGTGTTGGCCCTAAAAGAAACATTATATATATTATACGTTAAAATATTTTCAGGTTTACGTATTGGAAATTATAATTTAGTAATTAAGTCCATGTTTTATTTTCTCAACTGAAAACACAAATTTCGTTAGAACTTGATGTGTGAGAAATATATGTCTTCATTTTCACAGAAACTCGGTGTGTTAATAATATATGTCTTCATTTTCACAGAAACTCGGTGTGTGAATAATACACGCCTTCATTTTCACAGAAACCTGATGTATGAATTATATATGTCTTCATTTTCACAGAAACTCGGTGTGTTAATAATATATGTCTTCATTTTCACATAGAACTTAAAAATATAACAATAATATAGCGGGATGGGTTTTGTATAAGTGTGGTAAGATGACCACAATAACATAGAGGAATGAGTTTTGTATGGGTGTGGTAAGATGACCACAATAATATAGAGGAATGAGTTGTGTATGGTTGTGGTAAGATGACCACAATAATATAGAGGAATGGGTTTTGTATGGGTGTGGTAAGATGACCACAATAACATAGAGGAATGAGTTTTGTATAAGTGTGGTAAGATGACCACAATAATATAGAGGAATGAGTTTTGTATGGTTGTGGTAAGATGACCACAATAATATAGAGGAATGGGTTTTGTATGGGTGTGGTAAGATGACCACAATAACATAGAGGAATGAGTTTTGTATAAGTGTGGTAAGATGACCACAATAATATAGAGGAATGAGTTTTGTATGGTTGTGGTAAGATGACCACAATAATATAGAGGAATGGGTTTTGTATGGGTGTGGTAAGCTGGCCACAATAATATAGAGGAATGAGTTTTGTATGGTTGTGGTAAGATGACCACAATAATATAGAGGAATGAGTTTTGTATA